TATCTGCAGCCTTGCTTTCTGCAGTTTCAGTTAGCCATGGGCAACCATGGTTTGAAAGCAGATGATCATCTGTCTGACTATCATCAAAAGCTCAGTGGTAGCCTAACGTTATGTCATGATACCTGTGTCATTCACCTCACTTCATCTCAACACATAGACATTTTATTATCTCACATATTACGAGAAGTGTCAGTACATTACAATAAGATATTTTGAGAGAGAGAGAGACCCCACATTTACAAAAATTTTATTACAGCACATGGTTATAATGGTTCTATTTTATTGTTACTGTTGTTAATCTCTTACTGTGCCTAATTTATCAGTTAAACTTTATCATAGGTGTGTATGTATAGGGAAAAATATAATATATATTGGATTCAGTATCATTTGTGGTTTCAGGCATCCACTAGGGGCCTTGGAATGCACGCCCCACAGTTACCCTAAAAGCTGTAGCACTTTATCCATAAATATTTCACTGTGTACCCCTAAAAAGTAAATACTATTTTAAAAAGCCACAATAGCATCACACCTAAAAACAATTGTCAATAATTCCTGTGATAGCTTGTCCCCAGATGGTCAATAAAATATGGAAAAAATGATCCCCTACCATTCCCAGGCCTTGACTTTAAGAAGACTGGACGTTTCTACTTCTCCCTTGGGAGTACTGAGCTTCCACATGGACATCTTACTATCCTGCTGAAGAGACCATATAGAAAAGTACCACAAAAAGGGACTATATAGAGAAATTATATATAGTTTTTATAGAAACTGTATCTCTGTATGTATATATACCTCCATCTCTCCCTCTGTATATACATATATATATACACACCTATGTATACACAGTCTTTATATTATATATCTCTATATATAACTCTATATATACAGTTTTTATAAAAATTATATATATAAAAAGTCTCTCTCTACATAGATAAATAGATATAGATATGTATCTTTAGATTATATTTATCTAGAGTCAGAGAAAGGGAGAGACCCAATTGTTCCAGCATATTGCATCCAGCCTTAAACTATCCCCACCCAGGTACTAGACATATCAGTGAAGACTTTCCAGATTCTCTACACGAGTGCAGCCACCAACCAAACATCTGAGTGACCCCAATTTACACTGTGTGGAGCAGAAGAATGGCCCACCTGGGTCCAGCCTAAATTTCCTGTCCATAGAATCACGAATAATAAAATGACTGTTATTTTAAACCACAATGTCTTGTTTTGGTTTATTCCAGTGAATAGATAACCGAACATTTCCGTAATATTATCAATGTCCAGTCAGTGTTCAGCTTTCTCCAATTGGCTCATAAATGTTTTGGTTATAGTTGGTTTGTTTAAATCAAGAATTAAATGAGTAACCCTAGAATTCTAAATAATAATGAAATTACTTTATGTAGATATTTCCCATTTTATCAGACACTATTATAGAAATTATCTAGTGTGATATGGTTGCTCTGTATAGATAGGTGATTTGAGCAAAGATTCTATCTCCATCACACAGATGAAAAATCAAAACAAAACAAAACAAAAACCCAGATCCAGAGAGATTAAATTACTTACCAGAAAAATTGTATCTGAAATTTAAACCCAGATCTTCACATTTAAAGTCTAGAGCTCTTTCCCTTATTCTACAAATGGGTGAGCCTTCATAGATTTTTATTACCGTGATTGGCTCTAATAAAACTCATTATTGAAACCACAAAGAAACAAATATTTCCTTATTGCTCATTCTTATCTTGAGATGCATTTATTTCCCAAATGTATCCCTCTTTTTAGTCTCTGCCATCTCCCCTTAATACAGGCTTTGCTGATCTCTCTTCATTTATCTATCTTTCTTAGTACCAAAGTCCTAATTTATCTCTAAGCCTCTGATCCTGCCCCCTCTGGGTTCTCCTGCTTTCCATTGCCAGATGCACTTATCAAAAACTAAACTTGGTCACCTTGCCTTCTCTGCCTGGTAACCTTTAACAATTCTTAAACCAATATTCACAGAAAAGAATATTCTCAAAGGACCATAAGTTCTCCCAGAAAATCTTAAAAACTTGTATACGTTGGTGAAAACTCAAAACAAAATAATCTTCTGACTCAGTAAGATAATCACTTAATAATAGAGGGCTACCTGACTTCGGTGCCCATGACCACATTTGGACTGATAATGAGACCTCATGGTGCTAAAGTATGCTATATAAATAAAAGTTTTGAAATCACTGGCTAGTAAAATTCATGAGAGAATTGAATGATAAAACATAGGCATACCCATGCAGAAGTCAAAAGAACATATACCATATAATTTGGTGCCATACCAATTACTGCAAATGCATTTTGTCCACCAGCAGCACAAGGCAGCTTGTAATTCCTCAACACACGACACATTATTTCATGCCTCCCTACCTTTGTTCATTCTGTTCCCTCTGCCTGCAATAGTCTTCCGTTTCCAGTTTCCTCATCCCCCAGCTGCATTCTTTTCTTCCCCCCCCCCCCCACTCAAAGTCTCAGTTCAAGTGACATCTTTCCCTGAAAAGCCTCTATGGAGACCACCTCCTTCATCAGCACCACCAACCCAGGAATGGATGGACCTCATCAGGACTTCCCTTTACATGTCTTTTTCTCCCAGTAGACCATAAACTGCAATGTCAGGGACAGTATCTTTCCAATTTTTCGATTTCCAGCTCTTCGCACAGCGGTCCTCTGTTACAGGAATGCATGCATATGTGGGATGGAAAGGTCTCCATCCACAGTTTTCACTGTGGTGTTGCTCAATGGTGCTGAATGCATTCTAACTTAGACTTCTGCTAAAACAGGCATTCAGACTGCCGTATGTGGGAAGTTGGTATCAGGGGCATGTCACTTAAGCAGGAAGCAAACTCAGACAAGTATCCCTCTCTTTAAGAATGACTTTTTTGTTGTTTTTTCCCTTTGGATAATTACATACCCTTTTTTTATGAGAGAAATTTGTGAATTTAGGGCTTTGGAAATATCTCAGTAGTTCAAAGATTTTAGCCAAATTTTGTCAGAGTGCATAAAAGAATCTACTGAGAGAAGGAACTGGAAAAATAGAATGGGTCCATATTTTAGATGACTTTGAGAGGCAAAATAAGATTTCGGATTTTACTTTCTACACTCTGAATCTTCCCTGTTTTTTGTTTGTTTGTTTGTTTCGTTTTGTTTTTAGAAAGGGATATTACATGGTAACACCTTAAGAGATGATCCATTCTTTCCAGACCAAAATATTATGGGCTAGTTTTCTGTGCTGAGCATAACAAGATTGGAGTTCTAACAGCCTGCAGTAATCAACTGACAGACTTTCCAAACATTATTCCTCTTTAGAGTTAGAGATAAAGATTGAGACCTTGGATTCTGAAAATCTTCAGTATTTCAGAAAAAATGAAATCACTTTATTTTCCAGATTTTTTTTTTTTTTACTAATAATTCCTGTCCTTTCTCATAATAGCTTAAAATAAAGCCATGTTTCCTGTTCAAATTTACTCTGGACTGAAAAAAATGGCTAGGCTCTGTATTACTATTATTTTTTCAATTCAAATTAAATCAGTTTAGCTGTTATCTTAAAGCACCTTTGTCTATTTTACCTGAACTGTTATATTTAAAAATCATGCTCTACCTCATTTGTGGTTGTTATTAAACTTCTCAAGTTCTTTTTAAGATAAGAATGGTAGCTCATATGTGAAAAAAGGTATGAGATATGACAATGAAAATAAGATTTAAAATTGAAATTTGCCTATGATATTGTTATAATCAAGTTAAAACCTACAGGGATAGAATTACCAAGAACAGAGAAACAATACTCTTTGACTAACCAGTAGGGGATTGTCTGAGGTTCTTGCTGCAAAGCTGATAATATACTAGCTGTATTTAGGAGAATCTAGCCTAAAAATTTATTCAGTGAAATTAACTCTTGAGAAACTTTGCATATACATGGGATATTCATAATATAAGTGTATATATAACCCACTGCTCCCTTAAAATATGTCTCTAGGTGCAATTTGTGGAGCCATCAAAAAATTTCCGTTTTTGTAAACCCCTGTATTAAGACTAATTATATTTTTTGGTAATGAGATAACCTTTTTGCTTTGAACTTGGTTCTTGAAACTTAGTCTAAAGTTACCAACTCATGAACTTTTCTACTGGGATGTGATTCAAGTTCTAATTTTTTCAGATAAACTAAGATTCTGCAAGATGAACTATTTTAGTCTACCAATGTCTTATCATGTAGAATAAATCTCAGGGCTTAAGTGCCCATTGGTGCTAATAATCTTGCAACATTTCCAGACCGATATTCTGAACATCTCTTTGCACCATTCTCTCTTTGTGATTCTCTAAATGTGATGGAAGAGTTTGGGTGAAAGTACATTTGTCCCAGAATAGAAAATATTCCCTCAACCTTTTAGGAAAAAGACTCCTTTGTGTTTATTTTAGTCTCATGTGCCTTTTTTCTAATGTTAAAAACAGATTGCAGGTGGGAAAATTGTAATTAAAGATTTGAATGAGTTGGGTTTAATTTATCAAGGTTTAATTATAAATTAAACATATGTAAATTAAATATGAACACGGATCCAAGTAGGCTGCTTCTATTCATTACAGGCAATCCTTTCTGAGGTTTGAAAACTGAATTACTCATGTATCAGACTGATTTTATGATTTTCTAAAAACAGCCATGTATTTTTATTTCTGAGTAGTAGTATGTTCCAAAAGAACCAGTAACCACTCCTTGCTTTCTCAGTGACAATATTCATTACTTTTCAGTGAAAATCATGTTTATCAAGAAATACCAATGGAGTTTTCTGGGGTCAAATATACTGCAGAAAGGGGGTTTATATCAGGTCCTTTAAACATATGTGTTTTTCATGCATCCTTCACAATTATATGCATCCTGCTTAATAGATTTTGATGTATAATTACCTTAATATTTTTGTAGGTTAGGAGATCAGATAATGACATTTTTATGTAGTGTGCGATTTTCTTTTTTTGATCAGGTTCTCTCTTTAGGAGCAGATGTCCTGCCAGAATATAAACTGCAGACCCCACGCATCAACAAGTTTACAATATTGCACTACAGCCCCTTCAAGGCAGTCTGGGATTGGCTTATTCTGCTCTTGGTCATATACACTGCTATTTTCACGCCCTATTCTGCAGCCTTTCTCCTCAATGACAGAGAAGAACAGAAAAGACGAGAATGTGGCTATTCTTGTAGCCCTTTGAATGTGGTGGACTTGATTGTGGATATTATGTTCATCATAGATATTCTCATAAACTTCAGAACAACATATGTAAATCAGAATGAAGAAGTGGTAAGTGATCCGGCCAAAATAGCAATACACTACTTCAAAGGCTGGTTCCTGATCGACATGGTTGCAGCAATTCCTTTTGACTTGCTGATTTTTGGATCTGGTTCTGATGAGGTAAGTGCTGCTTAAGAATCTTATTCTCTGAAAGATTGCAATTACAAAAATGAATCTATTTCAACTGCAAAAAAACAAAAAACAAAAAACCCGCAAGTTGTTGCCGTACAAACTTCCCGTATCTCAGAGATGAAATTCATTTCATCGGAAATGCTATAAAATGAAAGGGGACAATCTTGCCACCGCAAATACTTCACAATTCTCTCTTTTTTTGTTAAGAGATATTAAAGACTATTTATCTTTTAACCAAGGAAGAAAACTTTGGAAAAGTGTTTCATAGCACATAACACATTTCCAGGCTGTAAAATCTCTACATGTTAACTTCATTGGTATAAAACTGTCAAAGTAGACGATGTCTCTTTCTTTCTCGACTTGTAATTGTGGTTGGAGACAGCAGGAACTTGTTTTATGTTTAAATTATGTGGAAGAGGCATCTTCTAAAATGCCTTGTTCAAAACTCTTTCTCTTAAATAATATCTAGAATGGAAAAGACTTCTTGTGTTCCCAGTATCTTATGAAGCTAGAAACTTCAAGGAAATCTGACAAGTAAAAGTACAGTGCATTTTCTGGTTGGAGTCCATAATTTTAACCAGATTCTCAAGGGGTTCTTTGATCCAAAAGCAGTTAAGTTCTCCTAAAGTCCCCTCCATTTAATTGCCATGAATTTTTATTGTAAATAATCTTCCTGGATTCTATAATGGAAAGACTTACAGAAGATGTGAAAGTAGTTCTCAGGGAGTGGCTTGAGAAAGATAACCTCAATGTGTTGAGTTTTAAAAATTCAGGGTACTTTTCTACCTGAGAACCCCATCTTTTCTTTTTGTTCGAGAGATCAAATATCAAAATGCCTTCTGCAGATGTTTGCTCCCTGACCAATTAAGGCTTCAGGATAAAAGAATCTTCCTCTGCCGAGGGGAACAATTAGTTTAGAAGTAAATTCTCTCCAATAGATCATGCCTGTTGAACTCTGGGCAGCTAAGAACAGGGCAGTGGAGGGGTACCTGGGTGGCTCAGTCAGTTAAGCATCAGACTGGTTTCAGCTTTGGTTGTGATCTCAGGGTCCTGGGATGGAGCCCTGTGTCAGGCCCATGGAGTCTGCTTGAGAGATTCTCTCTGTCTCCCTACCCTGCTGCCACTCTCCCAGTTCCTGCTTTTTCTTTTCTTTCTCTCTTTCTCAAATAAATAAGTACAATCTTAAAAAAAAAGAGCAGGGCAATGGAGCAATATGTTCTTCCTGGAGTCTACAAACCTTACACAAAGCCTCAAGCCTGACTCTCCTCATCAGTAAGGATAATAATATTACTTCCCCTCTTCCATTATTTTATTTATTTATTTTTAATTTGAGGCTCTAATAAGATAATACCTGTGAAACTCTTAGAAAAATAATCAGAAAAAATTAGCGGCTGTTAAGCCAGTTGAACTTTTCATGTTAGATACTCCTAACTTTGGTTGTTAATTTAGAGGCAAGAAAGCAAAATACTTCTTGATACTTATCTTTATGAGTTTCTTGCAATGGGTGATCCATGTAGTTACATCAAATAAGTTCTTATTGATAAACACTAGAGTAAAATCTCATTCTTTCAAATTTTAAAATATGTACACCAAGAGCAGATTAAATTTCAACTTGACAAAATAAAAGAATGAATGAACAAATAAATAGCTAATAGGATCATTAGGGGAAGTTGATTTACTGATGAGGTTTCATCAATAACAATCAAACCAGTATTGGAATATGCTGATTAAAACCATTAAGGTAGAATTTCTAGGAAGCAACATTTGATTAGTTTATTTTTAGTTTCTATATCACTTGAAAATTATAACATTAAAATATGTGATTTCGATGATCGCTATTTCAGACAGGACTTCAAGAGAGCTGAAGAAAAAATTGTGATTCACGTTAGTATAGGATGAAGTAATCTCTGGGAAAAATGATGTCTGGACAATGTTTTCCAGGTAGCATCAAGGAAAAGGTGAAGTTTGCCTCAAAGAAAGCAATGCCAGGTCTCTACTCCTGTGTGCTTTCATGGGCTCCCCCATGGTCCCAAAGCTACTCCTAATTCTTTTAAGATGTGATATGATATGAGAAGAGTTCTGACTTTGGACTTAGACCTCGGTCTGACTCTCCTCTTTGCCACTTACTTCCTATATTTTGGCAAGATACTTAACTCATTAAGATTTCATTTGTGTTTCTGTAAAATGGTGAAAGGTCTGTTCTTATGATTTTAAAAATAAAGCAGCCTATATGAAGAGACTAACTCAGTACCAGGTACATAGTAAGTACTTGCCAAAGGTTACTCCTTTTCTCCTTTCCATCCCTTTGGATTAAAGTCTGTTTCTTAATGAAGGCTTCCCTTAAACTTACATGTTACCACAGTAATCCATAAATACCTTAATTAATCTTTATTCAGTAAATACCTACTGAGTGTCTGTGATCTTATAGTAGTTACTAGATTAGCTAGTTGCAGTTAGGAATCCTGAAGAAATGGGAGACAGAAAGGAAATATTTTGAGGATGGTTATTAGGTTGCAAAGCAAAGGAGCATGAGGCATATTTTAGAGGGAGGTATGCAGGCATCAAGGATAGCAAGTGGAGGGCTGGGTCTGGAAGGGGGATAAGGGTGTCAACTATTGGGCTGAGTTGGTGATGAGAGGTAACAACAAGACCAGTGATGACTTGGACTACTTTATACATTTTTCAAGGGTAATAATGAAGATATTTCTTTTATATACAAACTATATTATATAACTATAATCAGGCTTTTTTTTCTTTTTTTTATTATGTTAATCTCCATACATTACATCATTAGTTTTTTTTATTTTTTATTGTTATGTTAATCACCATACATTACATGATTATTTTTTGATGTAGTGTTCCATGATTCATTGTTTGTGCATAACACCCAGTGCTCCATACAGTACGTGCCCTCTTTAATACCCATCACCA